ATATATATATATATATATATATATATATAGATAATCTTTTTTACAATCAATCAGAATTAGTTCACTATTTGCTCCGCTCGTCTTTTGCATAGCTAGTTTTTTGTCTATTTATTGAATTATCGACGATTTGATCCACTTTTCCCTTGCTTGTTGCAGACTCGTAAATAACATACTGTATTTCTTCAAACAATTACTCCAACTGCAACTACTGATCTCCGCCACCTCTCAAACCTTCAAAAATTACATCTCTATCAAACTGGATACCAACAGGTGTAAATAAGTAAAGCAATAACGAAGGCAACATACTCAGTACTGAACTGAGTAACGTGTTCAGTTCACTAATCCACGCGACTTGAAATTATTGTTCATTCACTCCAGCAAAAGCAAACAATTTTATGCACATTTCTTATAATCGAGGACATAATTTGATGAAAATGTGACCAAGTTGAGGCGTTTAAAGTTTCAATTTCGTTGAAGCATACATGTGAAAATATTTAAGTGGTGGTCAATAAAGACAGCAACAATGATAATTTTATTAATAGAGTTATCACTGAATAAGAATTAATAATTGATGATAGTACCAATTTCGCATTCATATACAACAAATTTTGTGGCACATTCAAAAAAGGCAGCAAGCACAAAAACAACAATATGTCATAGGATCATTCGCGTGAGGAAACGAAGGTACTGAATGAAGTTGATGGATATGATGATTAACTACTGTTCAAAATATTTATAATGACCAAGAGGTGTAAAGGATAATTGTCTGATAAATATTCTGAAAGTCGTTCATGTTCATCCAAACAACTTCGGCCAGAAAACGAAGGATCAAAACCAAAAGAAACCTGCTGCGCACATTGAAAAGGCACTCACTTCAGGTGATAATTCTTATTTACAAAGGTCACGACATGTTGTGTTTTGTTATGATTTGATGAGGTTGAAAAAAAATTGCTTATAAAACCTATATGGTGAAATAAAATAAGTTCCTCTTCATTAATGTTTATGTAGGATTGACTTAGGGGAGACTGTGAAATGTCACCCATCGAATGCCATTTTTACCGTTATTACTAGTGAGGAAGTTAAGCCAACCGATGGAGCTGTTACAGAATGATCACAAAAATATATTATGCGGTGTGGTCGTAGGCTGGCAACTGAAATTGAATAAATATGCGAATCGAAAGTGACTGACGTTTACTTTTTGCATGTCGCTTGTGATATACATTTGTTAATGAATACAAAGTTTATTCATCTGGTTGCTCGGGCTCAGGACACTGCGTCTGAAGGAACGCTTTAACGCCACTCGATACAGCACCCCCAGCACTTGGATCTTTTGCAAAAATTTCCAAATGATTTTTACCCTTCCACACTAATGCGCATTTGAAATCGGCATCATTTTTGATCATAAATTTGGCTATTTTTGCCAAGCAATCGTGCACTTTCGATAATACTGCATAAGGTAATGGTTTCATCAACTTGGATATATCAGCCAACGTATTCATCGCAGGCTTTGTGAAGTCACCGTTACCTTTGAACCAGCCCACAATTTCCTGTAAATGCAGCGCTAATTATTAAAACAGTTCATTACGTTGTGCAAGTGAAAGCCTTACTTGATTTGCACACGTGAAGAACATCTGAGCCCACGTAAAGAACGGAAAACCAGCACCTTGCGGGTAAGTAGTCAGTAATTGTAGTGGTACATCACGAGGTATTTCACCACATTCCATGTATTCAATTGAACTGTTCTCTTCAAAACGTTTCTTTTCGGGTTGTGGTTCATTATCCATTTCTGGGTTCGCTTGACTGCAATAGACCAATCAATTCAATGCAATGGATGCGATTACGTGCACTGGCTAACTATAGATGCGGATAAGGAATACTTCAGAATTTACCTTGCTGCTTTAACGGCTGCATAATCAGCACAGTCCACTTCAAAACGAACCAGAATTTTGAAATTGCCAAACTGGTATTGAACTAATTGGAAGAACGGTCCTCCAGTGAACTTTGAACGAGGTTTAGCCATTTTCCGTTTCAGCGCTTGATCGTAAGTAACGTGTCCTATCTCCATTAGATCTGAAGCTTCCATTCTGAAAGCAACAATACGATGAGTGATAATTTGTTTCGTCAGTCAAAAAATTGCTGTACACTACCAGCTGTACACTGGCGAAAGAGCAGCATCGTGACAAAATCATGTTTATCACATTCACCTGGTGAAAAGTATGGTTTTGCCGACTCGTTCGACGTCGATTCGAAACAACCCATCACCAGCTTCCTGAGCAAATGCGAACAGCTTTTGCAGATTAACAACATCAGTGATAAAATCGAATTCATTGAAATTGATCGGTTTCTTCGTTTTCGATGTTAGATGTCGTGCAGCCAATATTGCTGTATCCAGTGGACCATCACGAATCTGAAATTGAGTACAATAATGTATGGAAAGCAAGTCTCAAAATTTAGATGAATTTCACTCGACTGGATTTCTGAGACTGAAAAAACATCAAATCAAATCAACAAAACTTCTGTGCTGAAGAAATTTTATCACTGATATTCACATATTTATTACGTTTAAAATTTGGATGCTTCAGAGTGAATGTAAACAAACATAACCGATTTTTCGTCAATTCTTTGATATTCTTAGTTATACTGCAAACAGTCGAAATTTTTGAATGTACAGTCGTGATAAAATTGTTCCAGTTCAGCGTTTTTAAGAATTGCGTAATCTCTATCAACGCTCAACAAAATCCACTTCCCTTTGAATGTTTTTCGTAAACTTCTCAAGTAGTCAACATTCATAAATTTGCGCTTGGCACCAGCAGCTGTTAGCGAGCCACTCTCAGAGAACATCTGACAAACACGCTTTTCATGATCGTTGACCATGGTTCACATTTCTTGTAAGCATAGATTTCAAGATAATTGTAAATTCGCTAAATGAGTGGGTGGTCGTTTACGGTAATGTGATAATTAATTCAACAGTGCTGCTGAAAGAACAATATGTTAATTGAGTGATGAGCTGGTTTTTCCAGAAGCTTTCTCCATCCTACGCATTCTTCTCTTGCTATTTGTTCTAAATTAATTGCTTTGAGCACGCGCTTCAAACAGTTGATAATCTGTGTTCTGTCTATATGTATGCGTATATCTCTGATATTATAAATGAGATGAATGCTCAAAGCAAGCTTACGCTTAGTTTTAAGCTTTAGTAGTATACGCTCAGGAATGGGTTGAATGTAGCAAGCCTGAACCAGCTTCAGTATAATATTCAACTGACATTGATCGTGACTTGATGATTTATTATTACTTAACAGCTGTAACAAATATGCTGAGATTTACAGCTCATATAGAATTGAATCTATTCTTTAACAACATATTCCGCACTATTCAGTACATATATCAATATGTGCCTCTTCAAGTCTTTTGCTCCCATCTATTTTGCGCTTCCTCCTCTAATTTTTTGATTCCGTTCTCATTCGAATTATCGAAGCAAAAGCGTTCAGTGAACTTTAGAATCACCTTATACATTTGAATTCCTTACAAAATTGTTCACTCAATTTCCGAGCCTCAAAAAAGATTGTATCTTCATGAGACTTCTTAGAAATCGATGAGCAATATGAAAGATTAGTCCTAAACCTTTATGACCGTCGAATGAATAATCGAGATTAGAATTTCATGAAGACGAACAATTCCTTACGTTATTATCGCCAGCTGTTCGGAAAGTGGGATATCGAGGAAGGAAGAATGTGATATTGGTGATAAGAGAGAGACATAAACTTGTAATGAGTTGTAAATAAATAAATAAGCAAAGCAAAGTATAGCTTGGTCTATGACGCATCTTTCAGATCACGAAACCGATTAAGATTTGAAGAACGGCATAAAATTATGATGTGATTACTAACAAAACTATCAGCCAAATATTATATTAGTACAGAACAATCGTCAGTGAACACATATTTGATCACTCACTAGTGATCTTATTTAAGAGGAACTAAATAAACAAGAACGTTCACCTTCATATGATTCACATCATAAATAACAACGCCTCGATCTTGTTGCAACTTCCCACCTGGCCAAAAGAATGACTCCAACGGCATTCCGGGCATCTTAAATTTATCAGGAGTAAGAATAAGATGCTGCAATTGAGCATTTCTGAATAACTGGAGAGACGAAATAATTCTGCGCGAGATGCTGGAAAGCTCGACAAATATTGCATTCAGTTTACAGTTGGATCTCTGTAGTTGAATGCATCTAACTATTCTACTCTAGCAGCTCATGTCAGCTTGATTCAAGATAACAGTCAATCGGTGACACACTTTCGAAGACGAAATGCAAACATTTTTCTGGCAATATTATTCATTACTTACAACAATTGTAGGACCGTCATCACCTAAATACCACTGATACGAACCGATTCGTTCAACATATTTCGTCGATGTTGGCCCACCTTTTCCAGAAAGATTTACCAGTGGCAAAAGTCCGTAGGGCTCTTCTTCTAGACCTTCGAACAACCAAAATCCTTCCGCCGACATAGCTCGGCGGTTAACCTGGAAATAGCTGAAAAGTTAAGAATAACCCATTTACATTCTCACTGATTTAAGTGATGACTGCTTCAAGAACTTCTATCTGATGGTGAATAAATGAATGAACTGTGATCGATCGAATTTTACTTTGCACAGTTTATTTATTTGAGTTTACAGTGCAGTTCACGAGAGGAATTGAGTAGGAGTGAAATTGCTGTAACTTGATGAGTTCTGGATCAATGAATGCAAAATATGTGACGATTGAAGTGTTTATTAAGAAATAAGAGTTCGACAAGCAGATATACAAAAGACGAGGATATGTTAAAAATTCATTAGAAGCCACATGACTTGTCAAAAACCTATATGAATATATAATGAGTTTTGCAGAATGGCAACCTCCAAAAAAAGAAAATGTCCTTCCATGGAAGGAAACTAATTAAATATGCACACTATGTCCAATAACATTTGATTTTTTTTGATGATGCACAGGATTTTCAAAGAGGTACTCCCTTTTCGAATGAATATTGGCGGAAACAATGACTGCAGTCATGGGATATCAGAAAAAAAAACGATTCACTTTCTGGACGAATACCACAATTGCAGTTCAAGACAAGCCAATTGTGTTCGTGCAAAAAGGATAACTCGTGGCAACAATAAGTTTGCCTCTAATCCATGACATATAATGTACCTCCACACTGGTCAACAGGCAAACAATGAAGACGAGCAGTAACCAGTGAAGCTGCAATAAGCAACTGCAAATCAATACAGCGGAAGTGGGCGTGAAGTGCGAATGAATCTGTTGAGATACACTTGAACGATGGTAGAATTTCGATGGTTCATAATTAATAGCAAATAGAGACTTATTAAATGAACTGACCCATTCAGTCTTTCACAATGAAAGTTTCTTTTTTAGAAGTTGCGATACACGCATGACTCGTTGAAGATCTTTGTAATTGAAATTCAACAGAAACTTATCAAAATTGATGAAAATAACTCGCAAATATTTTTAAAATTCAACTGAGGTGGATTTCTATTCATTTCATAACTATATGAATACAGCACATTTTGATGACTGGAATGTTGATTCAAGTAAACAAACCTAATAATAAATATCAAAGGAGAGGAGTCACAACCAATTTTCACGAAAATAGGTTATTAATGTATGAAACAGTTTAGCGATGAAGCATATCAAAAATCAGTGAAATTAAGAACAGTATGTAAACAGCCTGAACATTTGAAAGCAAATAATACGATCGCGTAAACTAATTAAGAAGGCTTATCTAGATTCAATTTCTCTGCCGTAAACCTCACATGTGCTGTCTCAAGTTTTTATTCAAATCGGAAGAGCAGCGCACCGTAAAGTAAAAATATTCGTGGATAAAATCTCGCAAAATTTTGATAGTGTTAAGAGAAGAAAGGAAAGAACTGATGTAGTGTCCTGTGTCTGGGAGACTGGAGAGTCAATCTGCTGATTGTAAGCAGCGCTTAGTATATCTTAGCTTATGGCCTGACTTGGCTTAGGCTCAAACTTGTTTGGCTAGGAAGCTGGTGTTCTTACTGCGTTTCGTATTGTTGATTTCAGTCCATTTAGCCAATCTCTCATACGGTTCGTCGTGCTAATTTTGTAATATTTCTGTGCTTCTTTTGATCTCTTAATCTCTCCGTTGCTCGATCCACTCACTATATTACATTATCCGTTCCGATTGATAATACGAACGAATATTAAGAGGAACAGATTGAGGAGTTGAGGTTCTTTGTCAATCGAGAATAACAGCTGTGCAACATTATAATACAACGTATTCAACGCCTGTTTTTTTTTCACGTTCAAAACCCACACGACAGACAGTTCGATAGTATAAGATTATCAAAAGAATATTTGAGAGGCACATTCATGGAAATGGAAATTCATAGAAATTCAATGAACAAATTACTGCCTTAGATGTGCTTCTTGTTTTACTCTCATTAAATGCCATTTCAGGTTCTGTCACTGGGCAAGTTTTAACGCATTCGAATATGCTGAAAGGTTTGACAAGAGAAGCAAACAGGGAAGAAGGTAGCAATATGAAGAAAAGATCGCAGTTTCACCAAATGTGTTCTCATTTCTTTGATTGCCTCAAGTGTTTATAGCAAACTCGCATTGAATGTGATCGGTTCGATACTTGGGACTCCAATGAACACCTCTCTGGCTCACTGCTGTCATTTTCTTTGTACAAAGACATCGACTCTTACCTGCTATCAATATGTTAATCAATGGACTATCATTTCGCCGATCTGATTCAGTTATCAAATTTTATGGGTCACTTATCTGATAAGCTACATGACTTATAAATTTGCCATCATAACTGACGCACGGCTTCTGAACTCTACCATCTGCTCTGAACCCATCAAATTAATCATTATGGCAAAAGACGATTAATTATATGGTTACACATTGTATGTGCGTAATGAGAATGCGAGATTGTTCTGCATCGCGTATAGATGGAAATGCTACAAAAATGAATTGAAAAATTTTTCTTGGATGAATATGATGTAAAAATTTGATGAGTACGAAAACACAAAATAATTGAAGTATTGCGTGGCACACATACAAATAACACTGAAACTTCGTTATGAAAAATCGACTTGAAATAAATCATTTCGAAACACACAAGAAAAATGCACCACAGAGTGAGTTGAAAGTAGTGCATATCATGAGCTTTCAGCACACAAAAGCATGAATTCAACGTCATATTTCACAATTATGCAAGCGTTTTCGCAAGGTGATTTCGTAATATTCTGATGCTTCCCCGTAACTCTTTCCACTTCTGATGTACACGGTAATCTATAGCAATCATCATACGACTTATGAAGAAAGGATTCCGGCAAAAAGAAGAAAGGAAGATTGAGGAACGTCAACAGTTTGTGAAGGTGAGGAGTATCTTGAGGGAATAAATAATGATTACAATTAGGAACGGCTATTGCACGAACATTCCATAAAATTTCAACAATTCAAATTTTAACGAGTTTCACATATACTTCTCAGTGATAATCAGTTTCTTCATCGAGACATCTTTGCATAATCAAGAAACAGTAATCAGTTGTCTAATCTTCCTTTTCACTGACTACTTTTGGTAGATATCTTTCGAAATAAATGATCTTCAGCACTCACCGTCTCCCGACTCTACAAGTCACTCTTACGATTTTTAATTCATCGCTGAAGCTGATAGTGCGCCCAATTATATTGGTTTTGTTTCACTGAAGACTTTCACTACAATCGAAACGAAACCAACGAGCACTTAATGTGGTGCCTTCACAATTTTGTGTATGATGATGTTCTAAGCATGGACTTTACAAATTATGCACGAAAAGAACTAAAAAAAATTTTTCGAATGATCTTTCGCGTAAATAATATTACAATTCTCGATTCTAAAAGGTGAATACGATTATGTAAACGATTTGCAGCAAACATAACTAGTCTTACTCCAAATATTGATGTTCTTCATCTCATATTTATGGCGCATACTTTCTGATAATACCAAAAGTTTTAGCTGAGAGGGGGCACGAACCGCTGGAAATTGTCGCTGATTAACGTTTCCTTTGGCACTTCCTACCTATTTCCAAATTTCTTTTTATTTCCAGGTGTAGCCATGAATGCCGTCAGGGACAAAATTTGAGAAATATCCAGAGGAAGGCTCTTAGCATTAAGCGCTCCTGAAAATTCATTTTCAGTAGTTAAAGTTAATACTTCTTTCAGTACCAGTTGTTTTTCTGAGGAACCAAATGTATCTTCGCAGCATACGTGTACACATTATTGGACAATTAACATGAACTGATAACGTTGCATTCAAAAATAGTGCACACATTATGTTCAGTCACGGAGAGTTGAACACCAAATGAGATTTCTTTAGGATATCCTGATCGAAGTTTATTACGAACCACGAAAACTTTTGTGCTTATTAATACAGTCCTGGCGTGCTCTTATCATTCATAGAAATATTGTTGAATCTTTATTCCACTCAATAACGCCGCCGATGTTTTTTAATTCATATTATTCTTTATATGTCATGCATATGAATTAGTGGGATCGGGTTGGATAAGACAAGAAAGTTGGGTGATGAAAGCCTAATTAACGGCTTATCTAGTTGTGATTCTTTTGGACAGTTCATTCGCTGATGTTCCGAACAAAACGCTCATTCAAGACATCGAACGAAGCCAGTCGCAAAGAGTATGTATGAGACTTACTTTAGAGAGCAAACAATGTGATATGAAATGACTTGAAAAGATGCGACTTTTATTACTAATAATTCAAAAATTGAATTAAGAGCATTTTATTTCAGTCCACCGTTTAACATTTCGTAACGATGGGTAATAAACACTTTAATATCCGTTTATCGCGATTCTATCTCATATTCACATCACATTATTATCTTATAATCTCAGTGGATTGTCCGTTTATGTTCATTGTTTTGTCTATATTCATGTCTGTGTCTGTAGATGTCGGTCGGTAAATATTGCCTTAATCAAAAGATGCGTATGCATTTTGTGTGTGCTGTTCACGGCAACAAATTTCAACTACTCATTCTCTAAATCTCATTCTACAATACTTTATCAGTGGATTCAGTCGTACAGTATAATCAAACATTCCAACAATTTTTTACTTTATCCGATATTCCTATCAGTCATTCAATAAAAAATCAATGTTATGAATCATCGATACAGAATGTTTATTGTTGACAACTTAATTTGATTCGAATCAACTCAAGTTATGTTTCATATATGATTTAATTTCAACTTTTCAAACCACTCAATTCATCCAGTATTACAGTGCACTAATCGTAAGTGTAATACTTCATCAGTGTTTTGCATATGCTCCATCTCGTCGTAGATCATATACATTGACGTAAATACGCAAGCTTAACGTTGAAATAGGCTTCAACCTCCTTTCTTCCATCTAATTCGATATAACAGTTTAAATTTTCCTGTCCCTGATTTTTTTTCGTCGTCGTACCACACTAAATTGAACTATAATA